TTGTTTTCTTTTAATTTTAGATAACTATATTTAAAATACATTGGTTTATTATTAAATTAATATTTAGCAGTACTCCGTTAATTATTTTAATTAAATTTTTAAAGGATTTGATAGCAACTTCCAAATAAATTTTTTTTTAAACTTTAATTCACTGAAACACTAAATTAGTGAACTATTTTTTTTCTTTCATTATTTTTCCTCCATCAGTTCGAAAATTTTTTTATTGGAGCACTCACTTCTAAGGCAAGCAACTACGTTCAAACAAAATCCACTGACACTTAGTCTCTAGCCTCCACTAGTTCTTTGAACACCGTCGTCGGGCTAACCATGAGAAGTTTTGGCTATAAATTTCACTCAAAGAATTCTCCGGAACGATAAGTTTTTTTCTTTACTTGATGCATAAGTTCCACCCTTGTCTTTGTACTTAAAATTTAATAGGTTGTTTTATGTTAAACGCATACAGAGATGATTGTGCTCCGGAAAAAATCCGGATTTTTCGGTAAACGCGATCCGGAAGTTTCCGGAAATCCGAGGTCCAAATGTTTCAAGAAATTATTGATCACATTTATGTATTAAAAAAAATTTTATGTTTTTTTTTAGAAATATTAGAACTCGAATTTATACTTGGCATCTCTTTCATTTGTAAAAATTTTTTCTTGTAGAATAATAAATATGATTAGTAGTGTGTAAACTTATGCATAATTATTAATTTAAATTATGCTGCATATAATTTATTAAGAATTTCATGTTTTGAAAATATTAATGATTTAAATTTATAAAGACGTTAATTTTTTGCACTACGTAATTAATGATTTTGTTGGAGAAATTTTCAGGATTTTTGAGTTGGGCTCACATTCATCCCTGCGTATATATATATTATGTGTAAGTTGTTCTGTAACTAAATATTGTTTTACAAATGTTCTAACTATTTTCAACTACAAATTTCAAAAATATTGAACAGATGGCAACAAAAAAGTAACATACGAAAGAAAGTTTCATATTATAACAAGGGCATATTAATAAAAATTCTTAAGGATGCATATCCAATAAAAACTGTAAGGTTCTTAAAATGTTAATTCAACAAAACCATCGAATTTTACTTAGAATTCAACATCCGTTTCACCCTCGTAGAATGAATAACAAATGAAAGTTTCAAAACACCCGCATACAAATTGATTCATTGACTGGCGGTAATATATTTTAACTTCCACCTACACTTAACATCAATTAACCGATCTCGTTCATGCATCTGGCAACGCAACATGGAAATACTTAATGTGGTACATTGTTTTTCCTATTCCTGTTGTGATTTAGAACACTATCGTTTATTTCAATATGACCATCTTTCATGGCCAACGATAAACAATGCAGTAAATAATACCCACCCTTCGGCGAGCTTTGTTTTCCATTGGCGATGTTGACCTGAATAGAATCGCAGGGTTCAGTTGCACAGAAGCTTCAGATAAGGGTTGATTCAATTGATGTTCTATGCTGTGCCACGAACTTTCGTAAAACGTGATGATATTCTTGGGAGAGGAAAAAAAAAATGCATTACTTTTGTCTCGTGAACTTCAACGAGCTTTCTGTTAGGAAAAGTGAAGGTTGTTTTTCGAAAGCTCCGTCGTAATATGAAGTGATGCTTTTTTGCTGATAATATGTTATTTTTTACAACTGCTGTGAGTTTGCAATTGTTACTCATGAATGTTAGGTCAAGTTTAGCCTATCTAAAGCCAGTGCTGTGAACGCTTATCTTGAAAATAGCGAAAAATGTCAATCCGGCCAGTTTTGTGAAAATGAAAAGCATTTGTGGTCTAATTTTTTAATATTTAAAAACTTCCTCCAATGTTGCATTACCTGGGCACATAAAAATTTGCGAAAACTGAGAATAAGGCAGTGATTTTGATAATTTTCATCTAGGTGGAAAAGTGTCGCCGTATTGGCGGTTTTTACAAAAAGTTTTATAATTTCCCTCCAGATAATAAAGTCCAGATAATTCTTCACGGCAAGATTATATAACGTATATAGTTTGAAATCATCGCATTGCTTCAAGTGTAAGGCACTTACACTGTAGCTTTTTTATTTTCCTTGGGGACAGAACTTCGACAAGCATATATAACAGTAGAAAATTCGCAACAGTCATTATTCGGGGGTGAGGAAGTCTATCCTTGTGACGACAGAGCTTTCAAAAAACATCTTTAAAGCTATTTTTTGAAGCCTCCGTCGTCATATCAAAAGATGCTTTTTTGCGAATAATATACTATTTTAATAACTGATGAGAGTTTGTAGCAGTTACTTATGACTGTTAGATCAAATTTAACCTCCTAAAGCCAGCGATGTTGTATATACTTATTACGAATATGGCGCAAAACGTCTATAACGAGAAAAGCAGTTTTTTTTCTTCCAATTTTTACCCTGGTGGCTAAAGTAGGAACAAGACACTAGAGCTAGAACACGATCTTCTTAAATGCAATTTATTATTCATTTTACGTATCTTTGACCCAGATTTTATATAGATGTTTATTCGTTACGTAAAAGTTTATCAAGGAGAGCAGTAAATTTTTTTCCCCAAGTGTTTTTAATTCCGAAATCAATGGGGGCATTTATAAGAAATTCCAAAATTAGTAAAAAAAAAAAAAAAATTCCAATAAATTCCAAAATTAATAGAGAAATTTAAAATAAATTCCAAAATTAAGAGAGAGAAAAAATTCCCGATTCTTTATAATAATTTCAAACCTTCTGTAAATCGAATCTATCTAATGAAAAACTTCAACTGACCGTTTTCCGAATGCACGCATGTCACCTCAAAACAATTGTCACCACTGAGACAAGTTGGACATATCTCACCCCGAGTTCTTTTTTGTTCAGCAATCTTTTTTTTCCCAAATATTTCCCAAGATTTACATCACCAAATAAAAGGGAGAAAAAAAAGTCAAAAGCAAAAGAATTCCCACGAACTTTTATTCTTTAGTGGTAGTCTTGGAGCATGCGTCCTGCTACTCAACTGCGTGGAATTTTTTTTCTTCACCCAGGACTTATTGTCCTACTATACTGACTTTTTCGGTATGCAAGGCCGGTGGTACTTGACATTTTTGGCGAGATGAAATAAGATGGGGGGCTCGGTATTTTTTTCTTTACTTCTCTTCATTTCACTTTTTAGTTTGCTGATGTTGTTCGGTTGGCTGGGTGGAACAAGTACAATAGATAGATTAAGTGCCCCTTGTCGAAGAACTTTTTTTTTTTACCTTGAAATGCGGTTAATGAATTCCTTTTTTTAATGGTGAAGTGTTTAATTTTTATGGCTGTAAATGGCACTGTTTTATAACAATTTTAAGAGTGCTTGACAGTGATGAAAAAGACACTTCTTTTTTTCTGTCTCGAGGAAACTCTTGAAGAATTACTTTATTAAACAAATACTTCAGTTTATGCTTATGAGATTTTGCATCATTGTTTTTTTTAAACATTTTAGCCTATTTGGCATTGGTTTTTAAGAATTAATTTGAACTAATTATTTGAATATTTTTTCACTATACTTTAGGCAATAATTTGGTTGGTAAAGTGATGCAAGTTTTCTGTAGCATTTTTCTGATTATCATTTATACATTATTTATTTAACCAAAAAATTAACTTTTTTTTTCCTCCAATCTCTCTCTCTCTCTCTCTTTTTTTTTTTTTTTTTTTTTTTTTTTTTTTTTTTTTTTTTTTTTTTTTTTTTTNTTTTTTTTTTTTTTTACTGAGCTCAAAACATAGTTTTGGTAGAAATCACACTTTTCTATAGTTTACAATGTCTAAAAAAATTTTTGGGAGAAAACAAAATTAGTTTTTTTAGTGGTCTTCGTCCGCCATCCTGTGGATGATTTTCCCCTCATTTGCTAACGCTAATTTAATTTTGCAAGTCTTTTAGACTTTTAAAATGGGTTTTTTTTTCCAAGTCCAGAAGCTTGCTTATATTTGCAATAAAATTTTTTGTCTTCATTTATTTTTTACGTAAATTTTTTTTTTAATAAATACTTACAAAATATTTAAAATATTAAATAAATAAAACTGATAAAGTGAAAATTTTTTATAAATTTTTATTTTTGTATATGAATTTAATGATTTACAACAACAAAAATTAGCTTTAATAGTTAGTAGTCAGGGGTCTATCCAGACATTTTGTGAAAGGTCCGGTTTTTGAGAAATGGTGAAAAAATTACTCAGATTCTTTCAACTAGGGTCCTGCTTTTATGAATTTGTGCAAATAGGGTCCGATTATTGCAAAAAAACTTTTTCAAGGAGTTTTTAAATTGTAAATAGATACAAGATTATGCTCAGCACTGTAAAATTATAATAAAAAAAATTTAAATTTTCAAAAATAAACAGCAATTGCTGCTTCTAAATTAGAAATGCAACATACAAATATTTGGTATCTAGTCTATACTGCTGAACGCATAATATTCGTTTCGAACGAATAATGGAAGAATCGTCTGCCGAAGACAAAACTTATTCGTTTACATCCATCTTTCTTGTTTTCTGCCCTGGTAAGGGTTTATTCAATTAACAAAACAATAATGAAGATAAACAAATTTGTGAAGGGTCCGATTAAAAGAAAAATCATTTTGTGAAGGGTCCGTTTTTAAGTTAAAATATTTTGTAAAGGGTCCGTTTTTATGAAAAGATATTTTGTGAAGGGTCCGTTAACGGACCCAAACAAGTTAAAGTCCCCATATTTTTTCTTTTGACTACAACACTGTATTTAAGCTTTACGCGACGACACTGTCATTAAAAAATTAGTACCGGGTAATATTTTGTATTTAGAATATTTTCTATGAAAGCAAACTTTACATTAACATTTTTTTAGAAATTATCTTTCGTCATTTGCAAAAGTTTAATTTTTAATAAAATTACTTACAAACCTTTCGTTTTCAAAAGAATTTTCTTAAAGTTTTAAGTGTAAGCATAGGCATTCATTTTAACAAATTTTGTGAAACATTACCTCCATTCATTTTGTCTTCGCTTTTCAGGTTCTAGAACAGAGAGCAGATGGTCGATGGCGTGGTATTGTCTTTCATCCCAATTATACCTCCCAAAGTGGATATTTTCCGGCCACTGCTGTACAATTACTGGACAGACCAAGTAAGATCATTAAATATATCTACCATTGATGTTCCACATTTTAATGAACTTTGGATGATAATTTTAAAACTTCTATACTTTTTTTTAAGTTTTGTTAAGTGTTACGCTAGTCAATAAATTATATATAAGTTAACTTTTTCTTATAAATTTGCTGTTATGAATTATCTTAAATTAGCTGTTAGAAGCTTTGTTAGCTTCTTAGTTATAAAATAATTATTATATTTCTAATTACATGATTTATATTTTAAACATTTAAGTCATATATCGTCGGCCCTAAGCCGAAAACACGAGTCAGCCAAATAGGCATTTGACAGGTTCGTATTAATTGGCCGTAAGAATTTAAATTAAGGAGGCGGGAAAACTGATATCAAATAATATGAATTTTTTTAAAATTAATTTTAATTAAAATCTTTTTATTTTAAAAAATGGCGCACAATGGTTAATTTTATTTGTTTACTAGGGGAATTTATTATTTTTTTCCATGTTACTTAACTGAAAATATTAATTTTTGCTGCTCGTGAATAATTTATTCTAAGTAAGCAGATTTTGTTCAACCGAATTTCTTTTGGTATTACATATTACATTTATCTTGTAAATGCTTACCCCTTTGAATACGATGTAATTGTTTGCATATTTTAATACTTATGCATTATTCATAATGTTTTTTTTTTCTCGTTTTATCCTTTGCTAGATTAATTTTTTATTTCTATTTTAAAAATTTTTTTATGAGTTTTCATAGACATTTCTCATTTTAGGAACATTTTCTTTGTCAATTATTTTTTTAAGAAATAAAAAAAAATAGTATATATTTTGCATTGAACCACTAACCATCTTCCAATTACAAGTGTTGATAGTTAAGAGTTTTTTAATATCTGTCAATTTTAAGAACATCGAAGAAACATTTGATAGTTACAATACCATTCTGACGTTCCTGAAGATAGTGACTAAAACATTATAAATTCTTATTATCTTTATCAGGTATAAAGTCACATTTTATTTTTGCCTTAAATATTAATTATTGTCTTATTTTTTTATTAAATTTATAAATACAAGTTACGATTTAAATTCAACACAAAGTATTTTCGAAATTTTTTAATTGGATTGTTTTTTATTTCAAAATCATTTTCGGTGATTTTTCAGAAACTCTTTTTAAATATTTCATTTAAAAAATTTTATGCCACCTACATTCTAGCCCTGATAAATATACTAAACATGTTAAAGTTGTTTAATTTTGCATTTCATGTATCATTCCAAATCCACTGTACTTAAATTATAAAATATTATTCGGTCTTCCACACCTCATTACAGTCACGGTCCAGTTCATTCAGAAAATTAATTAAATAAATGGTATAGTTGTTTGATATCATCATCATAAACAGTATTCGTTCAACCCCTAAAACGACTTACAGGACGAAAATTGAAATATCAATTACAGTCACAGATCACGACATCCTTCCAAATCAAACATTACAAGCACATCCACCCACGCAACGCTCATATAGACAGCGTCGCCAACACCGAATACCAGCTGTGGTACCTCTCTCCCCCTAAAAGCCCTTTTACCACCATCACGCGAACCACCTGGCCATTACGCCGACCATTTAATATCCAGTTTCGCAGTTTAAACCCCGCAATTATGGATGTCCACCCTCTTGAATCTCAACTGGGGGATGCATTCGAATATTGGAATAGAATTTGTGGCGGAATCGACTTAACATTGAAAGAGGAAAAAATGACGCTGCATCTGGCTTCGTTGGCACGCTTCGTGCGGTAACAGTCAACCCCCATGCTGCGTGGCGTAAGCCGTGCTGAAGATGAGTGATCAGTTGATGATGATAAGTGGATAAGATGAGCCTCCCTCTTTTTTTTCTTCTTTTTTTAAAAAAATCTTTTTGATATAGTATGCGGGAAGGTATGTTTCCTTATAAAGCCTCATAACGCACGGTTGGGTCTTTTAATGCTAAACATTATGAAATAATATTTTTTTTTAACTACAGAATACATATATTTTTAAAAATTTGTATTGAGGTGAGGGTATATCAAGGATTTTTCCCGACCCTGAACCGTTAATACGAACGTATTTTATCCTTTTTTTTTCCCCCACATACATCTGGGAAATATACATACTCATTAAACATTTGTTTTTAAAATTTTTTATCAAAACGTTCTCGCGTGACAAAATAACTTGAGGCTGTTTTCCGAAATCTCCGTCGTAATATGAAAGGATGCTTTTTTGCGAATAATATGCTATTTTTGTAACTGCTGTGAGTTTTCAACTGTTACTTATAAATGTTAGGTCAAGTTAAGCCTACCTAATTTTTCCCATATAATACATTCTCATTAAACATTTATTTTTAAAAATTTTGATCAAAACGTTCTCGCATGACAAAGCAACTTAGGCTATTTTTCGAAATCTCCTTCGTAATTATGAAATGATGCTTTTGGGGGAATAATATGCTATTTTTGTTACTGCTGTGAGTTTGCAACTGTTACTCATAAATGTTAGGTCAAGTTAAGCCTACCTAAAGCCAGCGCTTATTTTGAAAATGGCGCAAAACATCAATATGGAGAAAAGCCACAATTTTGTGAAAATGAAAAGCGTTTGTAGTCTTTTTTTTAATATATAATATTTAAAAACTTACTCCAATGCTGCATTACCTGGGCTCATAATATAAATTTTCTTAATCGCTTTTATTAAAATTAATATAAATTAGTAATATAATTTTTTTTAAAAAAAAAGCATGTTTATAGATTATATTTCTGTTTACAGAATTTTATTTGTTTAAAATGCCATTTTAACAAGAAAATTGTGCTGTTTAATAACTAATATTTTTATACGATGGATTTAGCTCACTATTTAATTTATAATTTAGAACGAATTATATAAAACATAATTTGTGTTAACATTTGTCAACATTATTAAACAAATATTAATAAAATTTGTCTTAAGAAAAACGATAAGCAAACATCAAATAAGGAAAAGTATCATTTCCTGTTCTCAAACAGACTTTAAATCCCCTCTCACAAAATCACAAACCGCACAGGTAAGAAGGAAAAAAAAAACTTCCAACATCCCTCTTAGAAACTGATGAAATAGACTGGACCTTTCAGGTCGGTTGGCGTCTCCCAGGTGGGTGAACCTCTTTCAGTCACTCTGCTATATACAGTATCTCTTTTCTTCTTATTTTTTTGCTCTCAGCAGTTTTTTCTTTATTGTTTTTAATATCGCGTGGAATAATATTACGGAAGACAATATTTGGCCATTTTTCGCTTTTAAACTATTCCTACAGTGCCAAGCTGACCTTCGAGTTTATTTTTGATTCGCAGACGATTTTTTTTTTTTTTTTTTTTTTTTTTTTTTTTTTTTTTTTTTTTTTTTTTTTNTTTAATTCTAAAATGATTCGAATGTATAATGTTTTGTATGATATCTGCAATTATTTTACTTGAGAATGGAATAATAATTTTCTTTAGCTCTCAGCAGTTTTTTTTTATTTTTATTGTTTTTAATATCGCTTGGAATAATATTACGGAAGACAATATTTGGCTATTTTCGCTTTTCCACAATTCTTACAGTGCCAAGCTGACCTTCGAGTTTATTTTTGTATCGCAGACGATTTTTTTTTTTTTTAATTCTAAAATGATTCGAATGTATAATGTTTTGTATGATATCTTCAATTATTTTACTTGGGAATGGAATAATTGAGCTTGATCTTCAAGGATGATGTCTTAATAATTTGTTCCTTAATAATGTGATGCTTTTTTCCTGTCACTGCGGGAAAATATTGGTTTGTTTTCATTTTATCGTGAGGCTGGATTCTGAGATTTCATTTTCTTCCAAGTTTCCTTTGTAAATTAAAGTAACAATCAAACACGGGGAATAAATAAATAAATATGATGAAAATAGAAAAAGGTAATTTGGTCTCCCGATTATATTGAATCATTTTTATTTGTTTATTTATTTATTTTTAAAATTAAATTTAACTAATTCAGAATTCAAGTGCACTCTAGTTTGGTTATTCAAAATATGGTTATTTCAGTATTATTTATCTGGTTGGTCTGGTATTATTTAAACAAATTAATATTTATCTGTCTAGATTCTAAGATTTCACTTTTCTTCCAAGTTTTCGTCGTAAATTAAAGTAACTGTCCTAACGCGGGAAATAAAAGATTAAAAATAATAAAAAAATAGAAAAATATAGTTTAATCTCTTCCGATTATATTTAATTATTTTCGAGTTAAACTTAATTAATTCAGATTATTGTAAGCACACTCTAGTCTGATTATTGAAAATAATCAAACTATTTATTTCAGTATTATTTATCTGGTTAGACTCGCATCATTTAAATAAACTAATGTTATTTATCTGGTTATTTGTAAATATATAAGGAATTTAAGTTAATCTAAGTTAAGGATTTTTTTTTTGGGGGGGGGGATACGAATGTGTGATATAAACAATAGAGGATATTAGCTACTGACTAATTTCTGACATGCAGCAACAAAAATCCTTTTTTTTTTTTTTTTTTTTTTTTTTAAGTGGAAGAAGCACATTAAGTTACTTTGAGAAAACTACTTTTTGTGTTATAAAACTATAATTAAGAAAAGCCGCTTTAAAAACAATAAATAATTACACTTACTTGCCCACTTGCTTAAAAATCAGCAATAAAAGTTACGTTTGTATGACTTGTTGGGACAAATGCAAATCTACATGTAGTATGCGTATACTTCAGTAATGTAGTAGATCTATTATTTGTACAGTAAGCTTAAAAGTTCGCAAATATCAATGATCACTCCCACAAACGCATTGTATAATAAACATTCGTTCATAGAAGAAAATATTATACTGCTTTGAATTTAAAAAATAAACGACACATCTAAAGATTATGTCATTTAAATATGTCATTTTAAAGTTTATGCCATTCCAGTTACGAGTTTCCCATACAAATATGGTTTAGTTACAAATGAAAAGATAAAAAATTATTTTACATTCTTAACTTATTAAG